TTAGGACAAAATGTGGTTTACGGCAAAGAAGCGAGTGAATTCTCGTATCTGCATGCAGCAATATCAAGTCAGAGGTGCAACATTTAAATGTCAAATGACTGCGTCGATCGATAAACATTCACAAAATTATAGTGAGCACACATAGTATATTATATACATACAATAGGAACACCTTGGGATGGGTGTAAGTAGATTGTATACACCGTACACGCATGTTAGAAATATTACTATAATATAATATTTGAACAAATCAAAAAAAAAAAAAAGAAGAAAGTATTTAAAGTAAAGACGTACATAAGTTCGTTACCTAGCTCAACGAGGTTAGTAAGAAATTCGACTTCAAAGATAATACTAAGACAAAACTTTAAAGTAAAAATATTTTCACGTAATATTTCGAAGATATTATAGCGTTTTTATTTGTTGTAGAATTTTTTTGTTTTATTACACCCTGAACAGGGGAGACTGTATATACGGAAACTAGTCCTTCAGTTTTTGACATACCGATCTGAAATTTTGCACATTTTCTTTTCTCTCCAAGAAGCTGCTCATTTGTCGGAACCGACGATATGGGGCTACTATTGTATATAATATATATATATAGTTTGTCATACAAACTGAATAGTTGTAGAATCAAGTGCTTGCATGGAAAATCTTTTTCATTTGACAACATAAGATGTCAAGCAGATTATCACGAACACACGTATTTGAGTGACACAGAGCATTCAGTGAAAGTCCTAAGGTCATCGAAAACTTTTATCATGTGAGCCGTCCATCCACCTCAGTTAATGATGATAACATCGATAAAGTTGAAGAAACAGTGCTTGGAAAAAGGCGTGTTGGCATCAGAGGATCTCAACATACGAATCAACTCAATTAGACACCTTCTAAAAGACCTGGATTTTTTGCAAAAACGACATCGAGTAGAGGTCGCCAAAGAGATGCTTAACAACGCTCCAAAATGACCCGAAACCGAAAAAACCACCTCAAAATCTTTGATTACTATATTGTGGTTTACCATCAATTCGCACCACAGAGACAAACGGTCAGTAACGAATACTATTTGGATTTTGCAGCGTTTACATGAAGCAATTCGTCGCAAACAAACGGATTTGTGGGCAGAAAATTCATGGATTTTTTACTAGGATATTGCGCTGTCATATGATGATAGCATGATTGTGACTTTTTTCGGTTTTCGAAACTGAAAAGTCCGTTTTGGGAAACGTGCCGAAGCCATTAAAAACTATCCCACAAAGCCGATTATACTACCACAATTGGTTTAAAATTTGGAAATTGCTAGATGCTTCGCTTTAAGTTATATTGAAGTCAAGTTCGATAAATATAGCTTAAAATGTCTAGGTAATGTATAGGTCTCATAAAGAATATTTTTATACATACATGTTCTGTACAATATGTTTTATGAATTTGACGTACTCAAACTTTGACTTTACTTGGGAAAAATGTATCTAAGGCCAGATGTTGCTATTTACAAGTATGTCAGCATTAATTATTTTATTGTATATTTAGAATACTTATGGTATATGAGTTGTAGAATATGTGAAGCATACATTCTATTATACATACATATGTAAATTGAAACAAATAATCATTTTATTTAAGCTTTTCGAATTTAGCAGAGCAAACTTTAAAGCAATAAATTAACAAACTATCAATTAGCTAATATAACTTCCATTAAATAATATATCTAAGGAACTAGAAATAACTACAAATATATAGAGCTACGTTGGTGTGCTTTGTTTTTCTTCTGAAGAGGAACCACTAAAATATTACTAACTTAATAAAATATAAAATAAACAAACGAAAACAATCAGCTTGCTAGATACGACTCGACCAATTGGTGATAACTTCGCTAGCAAACAATATATTACTGTAAATACAGCGAGTAACTGTGTTTGCAAAGTTGCTATAAAACAACCAAAAATTAAATTTAAAAAATAATAATAATAATTTAAGAAATTCAAAAAATTGAAATCAAACCAAGATAACAATAACAAATCTAATACTGGAGCCATACAAATTATACGCGCACAGTGGAAAAACTCGTTTACATACAAATGAACGTATTAATAAAGTTGGCCATGCGCGAGCCTAAAATTTCAATGGATGATCTTTCCTGCACTGCATCGGCTATCCGGTCGTCGCCGCCAAATGCGTTGATCGCAGAATAAATCGCCAACAACAAGTAGTTACGTACATAAGCACATTGTAGATGTATACAGTTTCATGTTGTTGTTATTGTTATCGGTTGTGTGCATTTAAGTGTATCGTATATTAAAGCGTTTGTAAAATAAGAGTATAAGAAAAGGAATTTGTGTGGTGTTTATTAGTATTTTAAAGCCAGTAGAGATCATATTGTGGGTTTGGATGTATATGATGGAATACATAGTATTTTCATTGGATGAAAGGTTAATATCATACAAAATATTTATCAAAGTGAAGCTCATGAATTATGAATCGCCAAGTCAATGGTTGACTAAACAGAAAATGTGGCAGCACACTTGTGCATCCTAAAATGTAGAAAAAAAAACGATTCATGCTTGCGTCAAAACAAAGAACGTTTTAGTAAATTCTTCAAACAGTTTGTTTGCATACGATTCGCTTGCTTTATGACTAGCATGAAATCGAAGCTCACTCGACTGTCGCACAGTGGTTCGAATAAAAATAAAAATATAGGAAAATGTTAAAATAATTCGTCGGTTAAATATTATTGAGGTTTTATGAATATCAGCTGCCTTAAGCTACACTTCCATAACTTAGCCGATAGCGTATTCTTTTCGTATCCGTCTGTCCGTATATACTGCGGAACTAGCGCAGCTTCTGAGATATCGATCTGAATTTTTGCACACATGCTTTTCTCAACAAGAAGCTGCTCATTAGCCGATATCAGACAAATATAGCATATAGCTGCCATACAAACTGACCTGAAATCCTACTCGAGTTCCTTGTATGGAAAACCTTTTCATTTGACAAGATCTCAACACGAAATTCGGCACAGTTTATTCTCCAACGCAACGTTTCAATTTCCAAAAATATTGTTCAGATCGGACCACTATAGCATGTAGTTGCCATACAAAATTGGTTAAAATCTTATGTAAAACTTATTTATTAAATTTAATATCTTCACGAAATTTGGCAAACATTAGTTTCCAAGGCAACGCTACAATCTTAGAACATATTGATCAGATCGAACCACTATAGTATATATGTACATATGTAGCTGTCAAAGTTTGTTTTTTTCGTTTTCTGAGCAAATTTACCATAAAAATTTTTTTTATTACCATCAGTATTTTTGATATCATCAGAAAGAAGAGATTTCAGCTATCATAAGACCTACTCCCATTAAAAAAAAAAACAAAAACTGAAATTTTGACTTCAGATTTTTTGATTGAAAATTAGGATTTTTCCGATTATTATTACCTCAGTGCTATCTAATCCAAACTTTTATTTAAGTTACAAATAGAGATCAAAAATTTAATTTTGCATGCCCAAAATTATTATTCCACAAATTGTTTGAAAATTTCCATCGTACAATTTAAAAATAACCAATTTTAAATACTAATAAAAAAAAAAAATAAATCTATGCGCTAAAAATTACTTTCAACCATAAGATTAGAGATGAAATTTCGCATTATTTTTTGTGAAATTCTATACAATGAACTCGGCTAATTGTTATGGCACAAAACTTTGGGGTTTTACGAATCACTGTGCGATGTCCGCGTGCTTTAAATGCAATTTATTGCGCTGGATGAGTATGGGTGTATGTAAATGAAAGTGTGTAAATGAAGTGTTGATATTTTCACGACGGTGTAGACATACTTTAGTCCATATATGGCAACATAAATACGTGCATATATATGCATATGTACGTAAGTGTTTTTGAAAAAGAAGAATTCCGTTTGATGATTGCCTAATGATCGAAGAATGCGCATTTACATTCTAAATTGTCAATATTAGCATATGGAATTGTTGAAAAATGGGTAAGAAATAAATTTGTAGTAATACTTGTTTTGTTGTATGATGTTTATGATGTATAAGTATGCATGTTTAAACAAATTTTTGCAATATTTACTATGAATTTTTATATGTAGGAGCTAGTAGAGAGCTTCATTATTTATTCTTAAGAATAAGGTTTTGTGTATGGTAAACTAACGGTGAAATTTATAAGAAGGCTTTTATAATATTGGCTACTGCATTTTATAGGGTGTTCATAACCGCAAAAATTTTACCATATACTGTTCATTGGTAATATTTTGTTAATTTCAAGATTAGTGTTGGGTTTTCAAAATTACCCTTAGTAGTCACATCGATTTATTCAAGACTATACAATGGATTTTTACTTATGTACAGATATTATTTTTCTAGAAAATATTTTTCTTTTTTTTTAACACTATTTCATCGTAGTAGAAAACACCTCGGAGATATCATTTTTATACACAAAATTATCAAGAAGCTGGAGAAAATTTGCTGAATTTGTCATATCACATTTTACATACATATGTATGTATGTATGTAGATTATTTCTACAGTTTATTTTTAATACGATCATAAAAAAATTCGCTAAATTACGTAATTTTCCAAAAACCATATTTGATGTATGGTTGTTTGTGTTGTTGTTGTAATAAAACATAAAAAGGGTATTCACACTTAAACTGCATATATATTTAGCCAAGAAAAATGTGGCGCCTAACTAGAAAACACAGCTTAAATTATAAATTTTCGTATTCAGAAAATCCTTGTACTCAACTAACTTGTGGCCCCGTACCACTCATTTGAAACTGCGAACTGCTTGTATATACCTATACCAACTTCACTCCACCAATACATTTGCACAATCACCGCAGCATCTCCTGCTTTCATTTTATTATTTACAGCACCACATAATTATACTCAAATATTCACTATACAATGAGATGCGTCATAAACATATAGAGGTTAGAAAATAGAGTAGGCAAGCATACACTGCACAGAGTACTCGTACATACCTTCTAGCAGTTTAACGAAATTATCAGGAAATACACCAACTTTGCCATGCAGTTCACCCTTCCACCAGCCTTTATCCGGTAACTCCATGCTGATGATGGTGATGATTTCGCCAACTTTCAAATCCAGCTCATCGTCATTTTGTGGCGTATACGGGAACTCAACGCGACAGTATTCCCGTTGCGGTTTCGGTGGCAACGATGGTGCAATCTCATCCACAGCGGCATTGCTTGTGCTTGTCGTGCCGGAATTACTACTAACACTACTGCTATTCAATAGATCCTCTTTGGAACTGTGAAAACTAATGCGATTCATTTTTTTCGCTGTTGAACTGGTGGCGGTTGCAGTGCTTGTGCTTGACGTTATGGAACTACTGGCGCCGACAATCGACTTCTCTACAGTTGCTGTTGTGGTCACCGCTGATTTTGCTATGGATGTGGCAGCACCAGGACCGACTGCTGGTCGCTTACTGGCAAAAATAGGTGATGGTTCAATAACGGTAACGAAATTTGATGGAAACACGCCGACTTTGCTTTTTAAACGTCCACGCCACCAGCCTTCCTCAACCTAAATGGTGTAAAATAAAGAAAAGTATATGAGAAAATCATGTGGAAAATGCGAAAATTCTATGAATGAGCAGCATACACATATGTATGTAAGTGTGTTTGTGTAAAATATATGCCAGCCACAGCAACAATAGATATGCTCTTCTGCGCCTATTTACACTTTTTTCGCTTTGTACAGTCGTAACTGTCAAAGTGACGTAAATGTTTGGGTAACAGCTATGGGCGCTACATAGTTGCCGACTAGCTGACTGCTTACAAATACATACAGATGTATGCTTTAGGTAAGTAAGTGTACAAACCTCCCCAAGGAATTCAATGACATCACCTACGGCCAGCGACAGTTCGTCGTCATTGACTTGTGTGTAGCTGAAGATGACTTTACAGCGGCGATTGGCTGTTGCGGACTTTTCCCTGTAATGATAATATGAATTTTAGTTTATTAAGGAAAATATATAAAATAATAAAAACAAAAATGCTTCTAAGAGTACAGTGTTAAGAGAATTTGAGTGTGATTAGTGCAATTGACGAAAGTGTGCTTTTTATTTGTTTGTTTAGAAAGAGTTTAACAGCTGCGTTATTCTAAAATTATGCACATACCATCAACTTCTCAGCATACAAGTATATTCCAAAACAAGTGAAATTTTAAATTTTTTACATTCTCTTATCACTAAAGTGCAGCTCTTCGACGAATATGAATACAAACCTTATTGTGACTTTATTTTCGTCGCTGTTATCAATAATCCGCACAAAATTATCAGGAAACATGCCGATTTTGCCGTTGGATTGCAGTGTGCCTTGCCACCAGCCACCCGGCATCTGTTTAATGTTGTGTATGAGCGCGCCTTTGACTAAGTCCAGCTCATCGGGTTCCTTGGCCTCGTAATCATACTCAACAATGGCGGAAACTATAAAGTAAATAAGAAGAGAAATCGATTAAGGTCTTGTGTTTTTTTTTTTATACACGTCGGTTAAAAGAAAAACTAGCAAGAATTCCTAGCAATGTTTTTTTAAGCAACAAATGAGAAGTGAAAACTTAATTAGAAAACAGGCAGTGCGTACATTAAGTACCGTAAAATAGAGTAAATGAAGTGAATGAGTTAATTTGAGACCAACACCAACCCTACCAGCGGAACAACGTAATCGTCTTGTGCGTAATTGTTTCTGCCGTCGTATTACCACAATTGGTGGTGAAGATGGCGTCGGAAGCAAACCCCATAAACATCAATTAAACCCTGCTAAGCCATAAGTAAAGAATGTTGAACTCAATTTAGAGAAGATACCACAACGTGAAAGCCCCACTAACATGAACAAATGATTGTATGTATGTGTATAATATTTACGTATACAGACTTAGCGTTAAAAATTGAAAATCGTCGAAACTGAGCGTCATGTAAGCAAATGTTTTGATTGCCCAGGAGCTAAATATTGCACAAAAATCCGTTTGGAATCATTTAAATAAATGAAATGCTGGATACAAAAGGAAGCTCGATCTATGGGTAACATAAAAGGTAACACAAAAAAAAACCGCATGGACGGAATTTTCATCTACCAACTGCTACTGAATCGCAACAAAATCAATCAATTTCTGGTTTGATGAGATTGGCCGTGAATTACCTACTATGAGTTGCTTCTCTACAGCTAAACTCCTAATTCGGACCTGTATTGTGTAGACTCTTCTAGTTTTTTGCCAATATGGATGAGTGTTTTTATGACAGCGGCATTATGATAATACCTTCAAAATAGTCATTAAATAAAACGGTGCATATTTGACCTAAATTAGGTAACTCTAACTATGCTTAACAAAACCGTAAATTTAGTACAAAAATAATGGATTTCTTTTGACTGGACCTTATATATGCCGTTTTGTATTGAAAGGTTTTACATCTAGGGTTCTCTACAAATGAATTAAAACACTTTCGAGCAGAATTATATATCGTTTTTAAATTGTTTAAAGTGTTTTAGCTGCATACTGAGGACAGAGATTAATGCTTACATTATTTTTATAGCAAAATCACTTCTAAGCACATATACGAGGTGTGTTCATAGGCAAAGGTGAATTTAGATTTTTCGAGAGCTGCGTACATTCGATTATCGATAATTTGCATTAGGAGCCAATTTCGATATATAGCTTGTTTGTGACAACAGAAATGGTTAGTCACGTTTTTGTGTGCTCTTCGATTTTTGACTTTTGAAAAGAATGGATCAAAGAAAAAGTGCTTCAAGGCACTTAAAATTTTGACTGTGGCATTTGGCTGAAAAAATTGCAAAACAATCGATAAGCCCTGAGGTGATACCTCCATATAAAAACAAATGTTAGTGCATTAATGATTATTTTACCAAACCAAAATTTATGCTAATTTAGATCGATTATGGTATAAGCGGTTTGTAAACTGTCATACCATCCTGCTGACGATAATTCGAACATCTTTTCGAGAAGTTGTTTTTGTATAACCCTTATAAAAACATTTTTCTGCACACTTTTATAGAAAATTATTTTGCACACGTTTATTAATTAGCTATAAGCCTCTTGTTTAACACTTGTAACAACTGTTTTTGTTAAAGCATCAACCACGAAAGCAATAAAAACAAAATGGTCGTTGTATTTGTAACTATTTTTTGTCGCGATTTACTAGCATACACCAACAGTCATTTTACAATTCAAGTTCATATGTATATGAATGATGTTTACATATAATATGTATGTATGTTAACCTGCTTATGTAAATTTAAGCTATTTACTCAATAAAGCGAGTGTTCCCTACAAATATATTTATTTGATCAAGTAAGGCTTAGTAAACTACGTGAGAATATTACCGCTTTTATTCATATGTCCAGTTATAGAAAAATTGCAACTTATTTCTAGAGTAAAAATTCTATTCGCTTAAGTTTTCATTAAAATTCTATCGATAAAGGGGTCGTGCAAGTATTACATAACGCATTTTTTCACTGTTGTCCCCCCCCAACGCGTAACAAATCGTAAAGTGCTTTTCGAACAGAACAAAAATAAACATTGAATCTTAGATGGAAAAAATTTTGAGGAATGTGCTTTTTTTCCCAAATTGTTTGTAGGTATATTGAATACATAATCCACGCCATTTTCATTGAGCCACTTGACATCTTCAAAATCGGAAAATTTGTGCTTTTGCAATATACACATTAGCTCATTGGTTCTGCGCGCAGCTATACCGATTGGTCGGATTTGATTGATATTTTTTAAAAGTAATAATTTAAATGCGATTGAAGTGATGGTCAGTAAAAATCGTACGGCATTATCTTAAAAATTCCAATGTTCTGTTCAACCTTGATGGAAAGTGCAATAAACAAAGGCTCACTTCTTCTTGGCGTTGCTTTGCTGTTTTGCTTGGATGAACTTTTTTATATATGTCTAATACAGCAAACAATTGCTGATAGTAGCTTCCATTCTACTAACGAGGAGACTCACTGTTGCAAACAATTGTTAGCGATATATAATAATAGCCAATATATCGCACAATTTTGCGCCTAATTCAAAACTGTAAACATCATGCTGATACATGTTTGTTAATCTAAAAGAAAATTTGAATCGTGTTACGTAACAAAAGCAAAAAGAATTTCAGGCGATTATTTATAATATATGATTTAATCTTTTTAGCTTCGACTTGAACAATTTTTAAGCCAGTTTTCCAGTTTTTGATTTCTGTTTCACATGATGAAAATTGACTAAAACTAGCGATTTTTAGAAATAAAAAAAATACGGTTTGAATTGTTTCAAAATTTAAGAATATATTTATACGTATTTTAAAAATGCATATTGAAACACACAGTCATTGTATGGAGAACTAAGTATATCCAGATGCTGTTTCGAGAAAAACGCGTTTAAAAATAAAGTGCTGGTGCTGATTGATTTGAGCGGTTACATTTTAAGAAACTAAAACTCGAAAAAGTAAGAAAGTGCTAAGTTCGGGTGTAACCGAACATTTTATACTACTGCACCTTGCAAAGATCGAAGCCGGCGAAATATAATACATTGACGTGTTGGCAAAACTTCATATCTGTAGCAACATGTAGAGTATAAACAGGTTTGAGATATTCATTTAAAATTTTAGTATGGTATTTTTAAGGTATGGACTATCGAAAAATACAAAAAATAAATATTGTTTCTTTTTTGCAAAATCACACTGCATTTACATCTTTCCTTGAGATTTGTGCGAGTGAAAAACCTATTTATTGCGGAAATTGTGATGAATTGTACGTACTCTATGTATTTAATCCGCTTGTAGTTCAGTTAAGAACATATTTGCATACTTGTTTTGAAAAATATAATGACTACTTTGACTTAAGTGAGCACTTTGTGAGCTGTTTGTTTACAAACTAATCAATTGTATGCTCTCGTTAATGCGAAAATATCTTTCAGCAGATGCCAACAATGAATATTAATATATGTACATTCACGTGGGTATAAACACCAACAAAATAAAAAGCATAAATTAAAATATAATGATGATGAACCTGGCGAAACTGGTGTAAACAAACATTTAAAGAAATAATTGAATAATTTGTGCTGAATATTTATAGCTAAAAAATGAAAATATGTTTTCATAATTTTATTCTTATTAAATGCAACGAATAAATTTAGTAAAAACGCAACATTGAAATGACCATAACAATGCATAATTTGTGCACATGAAACAACAACAATAGCAGATAGGCGATCAAGTGCAGTGACCAAGTTTTATGGCACTTATTATTGGCCATAACTGGCCTAACTCGCTAAAGTCGTTTGGCCACCAACAGCTGCCGACCGACACAAAGGTATTCATTATAGATATATGTACTTACCATTATATAGGTACATACATTGTATTTCACGAACTGCACGATGACACTTGGCGCAATGAAGACAACAACGGCGCAGATAACGAGCGGAACAGCATAATTAAATCGTACAAAATTGCATTCGAATGTAGCCGATAATAAACATACATACATACAAGTATATATAAAGTCACAAATTTACTCTGCTCATGCAAATAGCTGGAGCCTTTCCACCATTTTTCCATCTTTTTCGCTCTCTCACTATACCATATAATCAAACAGGCGATCAGGTGAAGAGTGTCTGGTGGAGGCGCACAAAACTAGGCCAATGCAGCCATGTTGCTGCTTAACCTCAGGTTACTTAGCCACAATGACGAATGTTGAAAGGCAAACGATGAATAGCAAATGTTAATAAATAACAACAAAAACAACAATATACCCAGTTAGACTTGGCGGCAAGCGGTCAACAAACTAATTCCTTTGTGGTTTAGCTTTGAGGTAATGGGTTATATTGAACCTTTAGCTTACCACTTGTAAGACCTCGAGGAAAACTATCGGGAATATTATATTGTAAGTTAAATTATCAATGTCCGGTATATAGATCCGTATGATATCGGTCTACAATATTGTTAACAACCGTCATAGTTTGAAATTAACTATGACTATTAACATAATTTAATTTGTAATAAAACAATAAGAGACCATAGTATTTCCGAGTTGTTGTGTCCATATATCATATATATAATATAATATATTGATGAAATGGAAACCAGGTAAATTTTTTATGACATGATGTATCTTCTGTGCACACTAAGGCTAATGAAAACAGATCATAAAGAGAGATACCTTATTGAAAATTTAGAGAGATTCAATATATTCTTACTTGTAGCGTAATTTATCTTACAAATTTAATTTAATTTGTACCTATTGAACACAATTTAGTAATAATTCGCTATTCAAGTATGTCAAAGTCAATAGAAATGTATCTACTTATTGCCAAGAAACAACAATTGAACCTTTGAGTTGGGATCACAAAAAAAGATTATTTAATTATCTTTCTATTTTCAAGGTTTAGAACTGATTAGTTTTTGGTGTCGATCGGTCAAGTCGT